ATTGACCGTAAACCCTCCTTATGATCTTCATTGACCGTAAACATCTTTGGTCGTAAACAAAAGCCTTTTGATGTGTTAGCCGTAAGCTCCCATGGCCGTAAACTCCCTTGGTTGTGACACCATCGCCTTGAACACCCTTGGGTGTCCGTAAACCCCCTTAGAACATTCATATGTGATTGTAACACATCAATCCAAGTGTTTCCTAGTCCCTAAGGTGGTTCTCTATCATGATTAGCTGTTATATACACTAATTATATACATATATGTGTCATTATACGCTTAATAGGGTCCTTTTGTGCTCGAGACTTCGCTTGACATTTAGCATCCTATATCGATCTTACATTCGGATCACTCACTACATGTGAGTTCGTACCCATAACTTACCTTTTAAATGATTTTAAATGCTTTTATAAGGGGAGGGGGAATACAAGTAGAAACATTATAGATATTATATCAATCACATGTGATTAATAAGTATTAAACAGATGGATCTCTTATACTTCAAAACTATGTTATCGAACAAACTATTTTAAAACATTTTATCAAACTCTTTTATATTCTAAACTCTTTATCAAACTCTTTTAAACTTATTTATTGTCAAAACCATGTCTATACAGATATAATTATATAAACAAGGTTGAAAGGGCTTAGGACTGATAACTCGATTTATTTCTTGTTCCTTGTTTGGTTGTGGACATAGGGTATCAGTTGCTTGTCCGAATGTCGTTTGGATCTTATATATATATATATATATATATATATATATATATATATATATATATATATATATATATATATCTGTGTGTGTGTGTGTATAGATATAATAGTTCTTACATTAGTTTGATGCCTTTGGGTAACAAAGGTATACAAACATACTCAGTCATTCAAACAACATTACTAGTAAACTATAATCTATATAGTTCAGGAGACTACTACTGACTATAATGAGAAACAGGGAGGAACATACTATACAAAGAAAACATACAATACACTAGAACAGATAGAGCATACTATACAACTACAAGAATACTATATCATAAATGTGAGCCACTACTTCATAGCTTGACAATATACTGATGTGTTACGTTTTGTAAGCAGAGTCTCCTAGAGGGAGAGCGTGAATTTGTGTATAGATCTATACTGGATTGACAATCATACACCTTGCTGCTAGCTACAGTGGGACCTGCAAGTCTATGGGTGACGAATGTCATACCGTTTCAACGTCTTCCAACGTCGTGTCTTACTAGTCGATCAAGCATGGTTACAACCTCGTCACATTTTACCATAATTAATAATTGGTTTAAGGTAGTTAGTACAACATTAGTTACTATATACAATACTATAGTACATCATTATTTTCCCCATTGCATTTAAATTGTGATCTTCTCACATAAACGGAAATGTAAACTATATTTTGGTAATGATAGTCATACTTGGGAAAAACACTAACTTTTACAAACAAAGAACATTTAGAACATTTGGGTCTTGGTAGAAGGCTACATTTCAAGTAGAAATATCGGATTTTCTAGGAGATACAAACATTTACTACAAACGCTTACAAACATTTACAAACAATTTCATCAAACTTATACAAACTTTAGACACTAAATACTTATGTACTCACCAGCTTAAATGCTGATCCTCTCTTTCAAAATAACTTGTATTCTCAGGTCACTAGTAGACAGGTACAGATGACAGGTTTTGAGAACACTGAGCACTTTCAGACTTGTCTTTTATTTCGATATATATATATATATATATATATATATATATATATATATATATATATATATATATAGCACTTTCAGACTTGTCTTTTATTTCGATATATATATATATATATATATATATATATATATATGTATATATATAATATATATATATATATATATATATATATATATATGGTGTCATGCAAATACATTCAGAACACACATGTATAAATTATACTATTAATGCAATGGATGATGTTGTTGCTTGTTTTACTATTATGCATTGTTATGATACTATACATGAAGTCCTCCACCCCGAATGTTTCTGCCAATTTAGTTTGGGGGTGTGTTATAGGTCATTATTTTGTGCTTTGAGTTAGGAAATCTTATGTATAGGTCTTCTTAAGTTCATGGTCATGTTTTGTTAATTTTATCAGTGTTTACGGTTGTGTATGTGTGTACTGCCGTAAACAGGTTTATGGTCTTAAACCTGTTTACGGCCAACTACCCCTATATATAGGGCTTGTCAGAATCATGTCAGGGTTGTTGACAAATCAAGAGATTGTCTCATAGTGTTTACGGCTCGAGTGTGTAACCAAGGTGTATTTGTCGTTTATTTGATGTATAACGTGTGCATGCTTGGATTAATCTTTCTTTTACTTCATTCTTGATTTGTTTGATTGCTATTTGTTTGATCACTGGTTCGGATTCTTAGTTTTAGGGACCTTAAAATTGGTAACAGAGCAATCCGGTGCCAAAAAAAATTCCAGTCGTGTTCACGGTTAAAAGATATTCAGGTTTTTCATTATTCAAGGCTTGATTCTACGTCTTCACAGCTAAAGGGTTCAAAACTGCTAGAAGGATTCATGTTTTTCATCACTTTTGGACGTTTACAGTTGAAACTGTTCAAGGGAGTACGACTGTAAACACCTTTCACGACCGTAAACTATTGATCTTTAAAGATAGTAAACTGCAAGACCTCAAAAGTCATAAACTTCGGATCTTCAAGGACCGAAAACTCATGTATGGCCGTAAACAAGCTTCCGGACGTACACCTCCAAATGTAAACTGATTACGATCGTAAACTCTTATCCGTAAACAGTATCTTTGATTTAACATTTGTTTAATTCTTGATTCTTCAAATTAATAATAAAATACTTAATAAATATCAGAAAATTGAAAAAATGGATTCACAAAATTCTCATCATGAACTCAATTCAGTTATGGGCACTACCACTCGCATACCCCGTTTTTTTTTTTCGGCTGAGGGGTTTCCGAAATGGAAGTATCATATGGAGAAATATATCAAGATGAAAGATTTCAAAATTTGGAGATGTTTTTTGAATGTCTACATCAGAATCACCATGACACTTCCGGATAAAACAATCATTGACAAGGCTATCGAAGAGTAAACTGATGAAGAATCGATAAGATTGAACAGCAGGAAAGAGCACTTGCTACCATTACTATGGCTCTTTCTCCTAAAATGGCCCATGGTTTTCGGGAATAAAAATCTTCAAAGACTCTGTGGGAAGCTTTGGGTGATGTATATGAAGGAAATGAGGATATGAAACTTGGCTCCTCAGTCATTTGCTGCTCCCCAGTCATCATTTATTGGTCCTCATTCATCCTTTGTTGTTGCTCAGTCATCATTTGCTGCTCCCTAACCTTATCCCCAAGTTGCTTCCTCTTTAAAGACGCATGCTCCAATTCCTGCTCAAATTCCTGCTTCCAAAGAGAATGAAGAGAACTTGGCTCTTGCAACTAGTCTTGTCAACTGTTATAATGCTTTTGTGGCAGGTAAACTACCTCCTCAATTGTCATTTTCTGATTTGGATCAAATTCATCTTGAAGATGTGGAGGAAATAGATATAACTTGGCAAATCGCTATGGCAGTATTCTGTGCAAAATAGTTCCCCAAGAAGACTGGCAAGAATAACTGGGGAATGAACGCAGAGAAGAAAGTGGGATTCAGCAAAACTAAACTCCATTGATTTAACTGTCACAAACGTGGCCATTTTTCCAGAGGTTGGCCAAAGCCTGACAGAAGAGAAAATCACAAAAGAACAGTGGTGTCAGTTGGAAACAATAGGGGAGCTACAACCAGTAACCAGACTGCAAACCTTGCCGTGGTAGCACAATCATTTGATTGGGATGACCAAATTCAAACCCTGAATATCTTAGGACCTGAAAATGCACAGCTTGCTCAAATCAACGACAGTGTAAAAGGAGAAGCTGAGATAGATCCAGAGGAGGAGATGATGAATCTACAGTTTGCCTTCATGGTTCAAAATACACCAGAGCCTGAAAATTTGAGGTCAGTGAAATCACTTGTTCTCCTTCTTGTATTAAAACTATCAATTTTTTACTTGAACAGACTGATTTAATGCGAAGAGAGATTGATGAACTTAAGTATGATGGATACCAACTGAGAAAAGGCCAAAAACCATTAAAAGACCAATTAGAGGCCAAATCAAATGACTATAAGAAATTATAATCTGATTATAGTGACAAGTATGTTCATTATAGATATCTTAAAAAGGATTTTGATGTTGCAACTCCTAAGCTTGACACATTGAAGACTCGTTTTGCAAATGCTGAGTTTAACTCACTACTAGAAAAACAGCCTTTTACGACGCTCATTGCGCATCGTAAAAGGCTCAGACGACGCACAAATGCGCGTCAAGGAAGGCCATGTCATAAAGAGAGATGTCGCGCTTTTGCGCATCGTCTATTTACGACGCGCATTTACAACGCTCATTTATGACGCGCAATTACGACGCGTGTTTACGAAACGCAATGCGTATCAAGTAAAGCCCTGTCATAAAGGAAGATGACACGCATTCACGTGTCATAACCTTACCACGCGCGTGTTAATGACACGCAATGCGTATCAAGAAATGCCATGTCATAAATGAAGACGACACGCATTTTTGCATATCGTAATTTTAAATGTTTTAAAAAAAATGTTATTTATAGATTTACCAATTTTCAAATTAAATTTGTATTTAGTGTCTCATAATAGAAAATAAAATATCATATAAAAAAATACAATCCATTGCATAAAATTTAATGTCATACAAATAATCGTTCCATGGAAAGATAAAACAAATCAATAGAATTTGTAACAAAAATGTACAAACTAATTAGATACAAAAAATACAATCCATTTCCCCTTTGCTTATTCAAGATTAACCTGCAAGTAGCTAACTAATCTTTACAAATTCACCCTTGTTCTAACCATTTTCTTAAATACTTTACAAACATAATTTATCCATAGTACCTTGACTATAGTTGCGGCCTTGTTTCTTCTTCTTCTTCTTCTGAACTCATCTCTGGCAACCATTTCTTTAAGCCTAGTCTGAATAAATACAACAGCTCCTTGTCACTTATGTGAAAAAGACAACCGGAGTGGCATACCTTCATAATAGCAACATCATACCTTCATAATAGCAACAATAAATTACTAGTTTGCCCATCCATCCAGAACGACTACACAAAACAATACACATGTTTCAGATGGCAACATAAGGGGTACTATTTTAGTCTTTTTAACAAAGTGGTGATATTGAATTGATACAAGTGTAGAAGGTTTATCTAGACCAACATTAAGAGCTGGAAAGTACATCCTATCACCAGATTCCACCTCAACGTTTCAATCCTGAACAATTAAGAAATTTAGATATTTACAAACATAAATAAAAATAAAAAATAAAAAATAAAAATACATGCAATTTACATGAGATGAAGATTGATATTTACTCTCTCTGATACAAACATGTTATACACTTCTGTAATAAATCCTCAAGCTTATATTTACTCTCTCTGATACAAACATGTTATACACTTAAAACTTTATATAGAAATATCTTTAACCAATGTATATAAAAATGTGTGGTTTTTAAATAATTTGATAATATAAACATGTAATTATGAAGCATTAAACAATATTGTGTTTTTCCTTTAAACCTTTTAAAAGATATATAAATGACATGAACTGAAGCTTGATGTTCATCAACAGTTATTCGAGGTTTCTTAATAGATACCATGTCAATCGAAAAACATATTATAGTAACAAGATAACATATAATTATATTTAACTAAGTAGAGAGAGAGAGAGAGAGAGAGAGAGAGAGAGACCCGGACTGCATTAAGGGGGACAATACAAACTGAATGAAAGTTGGCATCATTTGTTCCTTAGATGTCACTGCTTTCTTTTGCAACTTTAGTTCCTTAGATATCAACCTACAGTTTCAATTTCAAAATAAAAAACATATAAATAAATTATAGTAAAAATAATTTAATGATCATAAAAAAAATCTTTAATTATTACCTCATGTAGAGTAGGGGCATCATTTTTTCAATCTCCAGTAACAGCAATAACATGTCCTCCAGTTGTCCAGGTGAAAAGAAAGTTGGCATTCCATGCATTGACTGAAAAGCAACCTGTCTCTGGCAACTAACCCAAAGTTGATTGTATTGTTCACTGCGTTCTCTGAGTTCAGCTTGCAATGAGTGATTTGTATTTGACTACAAGGCATCCATCTCCTGAACACGTGCTATATTTTTCTATTATTTGTTAGCTAGTAAGCATATGTCATTATTCTATTGTTTTACCCTTTATAATTTAGATATGCAAAACCATCATTCCATTCCATTTATTAATGACACAAGTAATTTATAATCCTATTTGGTAGACGTTCCCGTCAATGGCTCCATTGCACTGCAAAATGCGTTACCAAACATGGGACCTCCTCCATCAGGAATACAGTAAGCATGGATTCCCCCTTAACCTTCTCATCCTTTAGCAATGCCACCATATGGATCACCAATGCCTTCTGGTACATCTTTTTCTTTTGTTTCGGTATATATAAAACATGGGTATTTTGGTCTTTTAATAAAAAAATGAAGAAAAAGATATAGAACCAAACCTGTTAAGTTACTATTATTATTGATCTGTTAAATGTGATCTATTGTAATATTGTGTCAGGACCATTCATGAGACAAACACCTCAAAACATCCCATCTCAACCTCAATCCAAGAATTTGACGGAAAAAAAAAACAGTATACTTAGCAATTATAAGTCGACTCTGATTGTACAAATTACAAATTGGTAAATCATTGCAAGTCGATGAAATATGATGCCTGTAATTGTACTATGAATCGATGGAAGAAAAGATTGACTGACCTGAGTTGCGAGTATGGATTTTCGTAGAACTTTTACGAGAAATCGCCTTTTATAATTAGGGTAAACGAACCGGGGTCCCCAAATTTCATCTCCTGAATAAGTAATTAATGTTAGCAGTGATTCATGATTAATTAGTAACTTATATTTCACAAGTTCTACAGTCTTCAACATGTTAAATGATTTTTTTTCTGGATATATAGAAGGAAGGTTAAAAGGAAAGCTTGGCCATATTTAGGGGTATTTTTGGTAAATAATCGTCACCATAGTGAATTTCTAGTAAAAAATCACAACTTATATTTCACAAGCTCTACACAATGTTCCTGGTCATGGCCATGTCCATTTTACTCCAGGAGGGTATTACTGTAATTTTGTGCAATATCATTAAAAGTGGACACTTTACTTAATTTTAAAAGACATTTAACAGAAGGCCACAAACCTGGAATGACAATGTTAGAGGCAATTTTAAAGAATGAGATTTCATTGACTCATTAAGTAGACTATTGACTGCTAATGGCCCAGTTATGGCCTTCAGGTAGAGAAGAAATGAAGCCATGAGCATAGGCTTATTTGGCTGCATCCGCCCATCCTTTGTTCCTTAATTTTCCCACTAAATAACATCATGTAATATGATTAAAAACAAAAACAATTATTATATTCAAGAATGATTATTAATTAGATATATAAGTACAAGTGTATGACAAAGGTAGTTCTCTCTTTTATATGCCTTATGTATTTGTCTAATAATGTGTGTTCTAATGAACTTATGTACAGGAGGGACGACATACCTGTGCAGTGCCATATCAAATATGTTCCCTGCAAATATTCCTCTGATCAAATTGAATGATGTAAATATGATACAAATGCACACAACACATATAATTGGTTTCAGGGATACCTGGTTGTGGGTTTTAGCATTTTCATATCACTTTTGTAGCTAAATGTATCACAAGAACCAAATATGCAAGAAACTAAAACCAGAAGGAAAAATAAATAAAGATTTCCATAGTTGTGCTCCCATACCATTTGTTGCAAATTACAGGGAGCAAAACTGTAATTTTGTCATGAAAAAGAGTAAATCAAAACCCTCTCCATATATAACATTTTAGGTCTAAATCGAATCAAAACAAACCAGCTAATAGAGAATTTAAAGATGGTCCAACACAATTTTCTGTTGAACCGTGTGGAAAGGAAAGCAACATATCTTAATCATCATAAAGCAGTCAAGTTGACAGCATGCAATTGCAGAGATACATAAATCACATGCTTAATGCTTTACTTGTAAAAACACATAACTCAACAGGTACTCAATAAAAGTTACTACTGATGTCACTTTAGTTTGGACTCAAACAAGCATCCTCTTCAGCTAAAACGATCTATAAGTCCTGAATGTTACTATGCATGATAACACATAACCATAATCTTGAGAACGTAAGAATACTTCGTAATATGAATATCCACATTTTCAAAATGGAATCATAATTTTTTAAGCTTGACTAATTTAGCTCAGTTTCACAAGGCAAATTGAAGTTTTCAAACTATGATCTGCATCAGGCAGAAAAAGATAAAATAAAATAAACCACAAAGCTAAAACAATCGAGAATTGAAGTACCTATGATTTAGCACCAGCGTATTTCTCAGCAGCATCTGAAGTCTGGCACCACAACGGCTGCATCTGAAGATTTGGAGTATATCATTCGCAAAGGCGTCGCAAGCTAGGGTAAAAAACTCGAACATCCATGTTAATTGATTTGACCCATTTCTTGATTTCAACATCGTTGTCGGCATCTTCTAGAGGTTTACTCGAATTATGTAACCCTAAAAAACCAAATCTCGAGAGGCTTTCTTCCAGAAACTCCCTCCAGCAGGTGCTGTAAGCAAGCGAGCATTCTTTTCCGTAGCCGGTAGCGACCATCCTTTTTGCGATTTCATGCAGATCGTTTATTATACTAGACGGAAGCGTGTCGATCATGATGTTATAGTCCGACACCGGATGATCCACCGGATTCTCCACATCATTGAATATGTCATCTTCATCATCATCAGAATCTAAGTAACCAACCAGCACCACCTCCGATAGCGTTATCGGAAGATTCAGCACCGCCATGTCCGATTAAGTCGCAAAGCCCTTAATCTCCATGTAAGTTTGACATAGGTATAATGTAACGAGCCCTAAATCATATTCTTGTGAGCATGAGGAGTCGGAGGTAAGAGGTCTCACCTCGGTGAGGTGAGATGAACTCGAGGTCGCCAGTGGGAAGAGTTGAGCGGAGGTCTCCGGAGGTAAGACGTGAGCGGAGTGAGCAGATGTAGCGATCCTTTTGAAAAAACCCTAAATCCCTTACGATTTTGTTTAAGATGAACAGTACGCGCAGTCTGAGGCCAGAGGAGGCAATGAGGATTGGAGGCGGTGGATGTGGGTAAGGGTCGGGGTGGAGATGAGGGAGAAGAAGCGGGGGTTTAAAAAATTTGGGGATTTCATTTTCCCTCTAAAGGGAGATGCGCGTTTCTTAAAAAAAAAATATATAAAGCGACATTCATAGAGGACGCACGTTTTAGATAAAGTGCCCTCCGTGTTTTTTATTTTTTTACAATAGACACTAATTTAAGGGCACGCAATAATGCGTGACTTAAATCCTTAATTTTTTTTTGAAGAAATAACACTTTTTTTAATGTCACTCTCTTTTGCGTACATAAATCAATGAGTGTCGTGGTTTGCACGTCGTAAAAGGCTATTTTTCTTGTAGTGACTTCCAAAAATTCGATGTGTCAAGTGAAAGAGTTGCAGCAATAATTGAACACAAAATGAAATGGAAGGACCAGAAACAAGTAAGAATAGGTTATGAGAGTGTCCCTCCCCCATTTAATCACAATTATATTGCTTCTCCATTAACTCAAGCTGAGATTGATCGTGAACCATTTATGGATTATGGTAAATTAAACGTTGAACATGCAACATAATGTAGTGCTAGGAATTTAGATACTAACGTTTCTACTTTCGAGGCAGATTCATCAGTAAGCCAAGAAAAATAGGAGAGTGGAAGAATTGAATCTCATAATGATTTTGTGTCAAAATTTGGTGTTCCTATTTCAAAAGATGATGAACTTGTTTTTTATGTTAATATTGATGTTTTACTTTGTGATGATGTGATGTCAAACATTAATACTTCACATAATTGTGGTGTTGTTTTTGTGAATCTACTTTGTGATGATGTGGTGTCAAACATTAATACTTCTGATAATTGTGTTGTTGTTTTTGTGAATCCTACTAAACCTAAATCTATCACTAGTGCATCCACCTCAACTACACCTGTCACACAACTTGAATCATGCACTTGCACTTTTGGAAATAGTAGGAAGGTCAATAAGAGCGTGAAAATTGTTAAAGGCAGTACCAGATCTTATGATAATAAACAAATTCGTTTTAACTGTGGGACTGCCGGTCATATTGCTCGAAATTGTTCCAACCGAATGTTTGTGAAATTTTCAACACCGAGGAAAGAAAATGAATCTCGAAGAAGGTACTTAATCAAAAAGTCCTTGAGATCTCATCTTTGTGAGGATGATCGAAAAATTCATAATAATAAGAAAAGGGCATATTCTAAACCGAACAAACATGTTTTCTACAAATCAGCCACAGGTGCTTTGCCGAAACCGACTATGGCTGAGCCAAGGTCAATTTCATCAAAGGGTGCATCTGGATCTTTGACTACTCGTAGACGAAAATTTAAATGCTCAAATAAGAAGAAAAATGTTCCTAATTCACTTGTGAATATTTTAAAACCTAACTACAAATGGTGACCAAATCTACAATTATCCGATCATGGTCATCCTCTAGAAGTGTATCCGATGTAAATTTGAAAAATAAAAAAGATAAATCTGTCAATGTCAAGGGTAGACCCAGGACTATATTGACCTGGGTTCCCAAAACTAAATAATCTCGCTTATTGTGCAGGAAGACCTGCGGAGGAATGTCGCCAAACCATGGTATGTCGACAGTGGTTGTTCCAGCCACATGACAGGAGACATCTCCCAACTGTACAACATTCAAAATTTTAATAGGGGGTACGTTTCCTTTGCGGGAGAAGATGGCGGAAAAATCATTCAGAAAGGAATAGTTTCAAGTGGAGTGTTGAGTTTGAGAATGTTAATTATGTGCCCATGTTGAAGCACAATTTCTTAAGTGTATCTCAGATTTGTGACAAGGGCTATTCGATGCATTTCACAGATAAAGAATGTCTAATTCTGAAGCCAGGCATTGCTATCCTAGATGAGTGGATTCTTGTTAAATCAAAACGGGATGGCAATGCATATATTATTGACATGAACAATAATATTCCTGAATAGGTCACTTGCCTTTTCTTAAAAGTTGCAGAGCACAATGCTATGTTGTAGCATTGAAGACTCGGACATGCCAACACAAAGAACTCGCATCGACTTGCTAAAAATGATATTGTGTGTGGGGTTCCTGTCAAATATTTCATCACATTTGAAAAGTGTGTGGCATGCGCCTAAGTAAAACATCACAGAAAGCCACACCTACCTAAACATGTCAATTCAATCAGCCAGGTGCTCCAATTGTTACATATGGACTTATTTGGTCCGGTCAACGTCCTCAACATCAACATAAATTTATATTGTCTGGTTGTGATCGATGATTTTTTCGCGATTCACGTGGGTCTTCTTCCTGTCCAACAAAGCTGGGGTTGCTGACTTGATTAAGAAGTCTATTGTGATGATAGAGAACCAAACCAACCAACGGGTAAAGGTGCTTAGAACTGACAACGGGACAAAATTCAAGAATGTTGTCCTTGATCATTTTTGTGCAGAAAAAAGGATTGTGCATCAATATAGTGCTGCTCACACATCGCAACAAAATGGTGTTGCTGAGCGTCGAAATCGAACATTAAAAGACGCTGCGAGGACGATGTTATGTGACTCCAAACTTCTAGTTTTCTTTTGGGCCGAGGCGATCAATACGACATGTTATGTCCAAAATCGTGTACTAATCAACAAAGCCCAGATAAAGACCCTGTACGAAATTATCTATGGTCACAAACCATCTGTTAGTCACTTCCGTATCTTTGGCTATCCTTGCAGCCTCCTTCATCTGGAATCCAACCCCAAATTCAATGCCAAATTTGATGATTGTTACTTTGTGGGGTATGCTACTCGCACGGCGTACAGGGTCTACAATAAGAAAACAAAGCAAATCGTAGAATCCTTTAACGTGCACTGGTTGGAGGAGAATGAGACGGATGCTAGAGTTGGTCCACATTGGTTATTTTACTATACATCTCTTTTCAAATCATTCAATGGGTTTTCAAATTATTTATCTGGTTCCAGTTCTGGTTTGAAGACTGTGATTGAAGGTGAAGACGAAGAAGTTGTCTACAGACCATCGATGGTGTCCTCTAAGACTCCCTCAGTGGATACATCTGTTCCAAGTAATTTGTCTGATTCTCAAAGTTAAGAAAACAATCCAGATGTTGATGCCACTCTTCTTACTCCTGATGAAAGAACTTTTATATCCACAGTGCTTTCGCTGCTACTCAAACGTTTATGAAACTTCACTTTCCCGATCCTATTGCTAACGAGTTCATGGCAGGCCCCTCTCACGATTCTAGAATGTGTAAGGTGGATCATTCAGCAGATGATGGATTTGTAAATATTCACAATCTTCCCGTAACACTCAATGATATCAGCCAGGAGCTACCTTCTAGAATTCAGCGCGATCACCCGATCGAAAACGTCATTGGTCAGCTGGGCGATGGTGTTCGAATGCGAAGTCAGAGTGGGGATGTAAATACATGTCTCTATTCTTGCTTCATATCTCAAATAGATCCAAAGAAATTTCAAATGGATTTGAATGAGCCCAGCTGGGTGGATGCTATGTATGAGGAATTGAATCAATTTGAGAAGCTTGGGGTTTGGAAGCTGGTTGAATTACCTAAGGGCAAGAAGTCACTCGACATGCGATGGGTCTATCGAAACAAGCAAGATGATTCAGGGGTTATTGTGCGAAATATGGCCCGATTGGTTGTATGTGGATTTCTTCAAATTGAGGGTCTTGACTATATCGAAGTTTTTGATGGGTTTTAGGCATAGCAAACAATCCTATGTGTGCATGCAACCCTAATTTGAGGATCTATGTTTTTCACTATTAGATATACAAGAATTGAACAAAAAAACTAGAAAACGCTAACGCTAGGAGGCACATGTAATTTTCGAAATTAACATATAATTAGGGTTAGGATACATACCTTGATTGTTATATTGTAATAACAATCAAATCCTTGAAGATCTTGAACTTTGGTAGCAAGCACCACAAGTGTCATGCCTCTAATGGCTCACAAACAAACCTAGCAACCACGGATTAATATGGAGAGATAAGGGAAGTGGAAAAGTCGGCTCTAAACCTCTCTTGGAGTGCCTTAGACGAAATCCAACCCTATAGGGGTTTATATAGGTGATAAGGAAGGTTTTGGATAAGGCAGGTGTATCTTAGATAACTCTAATCCATTAACTTCCTCCCTAAGGGTTCCAAGGCACCCTTAGAGCCCAAGGAAACCCTAGGACACTCTAGATTTCGTTCCCCACCTTTATGGGAGGTTCTAGAATGCTTCAATGCTCAACTTTTGAACATTGTCACCTTTAGTCCCTGCAGTTTCAATTAATTCCTTTAATCCTAAAATTAATTCCAAATTAATTTTTGATTAAATATTAATTAAACAATATGATTTCTAATCAATATATTATATCCATAATACATTAATAAATCATTTATCTTGATTTCAAATTAATTTATTAACCAAGTAATAAATTAATAAATCATTCTTCTCCCTCCAACAATTATCCTATTCCCTTGCGAGGTTTGAAGGCAACCGAAAAGGACATTGCTACTATCAATTCAAGTACCTACCAATTATAGTTATGGGCTTAGACACCTAATCCAACAGTTTTTGCTCTGGTAGCTCGCTTGGAGGTTATTTGCATCTTCGTTGCATATTCTTCTTACATGAACTTCACGGTTTACCAGATGGATGTCAAGACTGCCTTCTTGTACGGTGACGTGAAGGAAGAGATCTATGTTGATCAACCTCTTGG